TACACCTACAGTAAGCCTATACAAATCAAGTAAAACCATCGTATTTGAGGGTTGGCACGCAGTAGCATGTTATAGAAGAGCGAAAGAAACGGTAGTGGCCATTTCTAGTTGACTATTCGCAGATAGGTTTGCTCATAGACGTGATCCATGAAGTGAGGGCTTGACCACGAGATTTACTCGGTGAACATGCCTCACAGTGATAAGGTCAGCTGCAGCGTCAAGTTAGGTTGTCATGCCAATTGGGAATCCAGACTTTAGGGGTTTGCTTAATGAGGTTGGTGCATACGTTGTATCAAAGGCTTGATGCAAATTGTAGAACATAAGTCATTGAGAAGCAGAAAATACGGTGGCAGCGATGAGGCGAAATCACTGAAACAGGCAGACAAGGGAAGGATGCTACGGAGCAAGAGGGGAGTCTGATAGGACCTGCGGATCAAACGGCAGCCTTGGATCCAATAGGTCTAGACAAACAAGTATGAAATTGTGATATTGAAAGTGTGATACGAGGATATGGGTTAGGTGAATAGCCCGGGACAGAAGGAGAGCTGGCACAACTGTTTGGATGACAATTGTCCAAAGAATCGACTTTACTTTTCTCTTTGACTACTTGTAGTGGTGGTTAGAATGGCAACGCTGACTGACGTTGCCGACTAAAATGCTGGCGACACGTCTGGGAATGTATCACGCCCACAGTCCGACTCTGTAAATACTTTTGTATACAATAGACTCCTGACAAGATGCGTTCCTCAGCGTCTTCCTGCCAATATGACCAAGTTGCATAAACCTCTCCTAAGGGATTCTTCGAAACCCACTTCCTCTTCATAAATCTGCTATTATTATTTTTAAAGTTTGGTTTGAAATTCGTGCCTGCAATTTGCACTAGAACGTTGCTAGTCACATCCGATATCTGTACTCTCGGCCACCTTTCAACTCTTGTTTCTCTCCTCATAATATCGGAGTTAGTGATTAGTCTCCCATCAGTAGTGGCTTGGTTAAAACAGAAAAAATGTGCTTCACTCATCCTCCTCGCCTCAATTTCTATCTCTTCTTCTGCTCTACGAAAATCCGTAGAATCGAACAGGGTCGGCGCCAGCAAAGCACTCGAAGAAGAAGTATGTTCTGTTTTGGCATCTCCAAATACGATACACGGAGCCAGTAAATCGTCAGGATTCAAGAAGCAGATGACCCGCAGGCTTAAGTACCACATCTTCTTAATGCTGGCGGTTACCAAGTGACAACGGTCTGCGACATTGATTTCAGTTCGCTCAGGACAACTGGGCCCGTTATATGGTAACTCCGCATGCGAGTTCCCCATGACGACAACTTTCCCACGGCCACGTCACGTCATTGGGCTGAATTGTCGAGACTAAACTACGAGCAT